ACAGACGTCACCGATCCAAACACAGACGTCACCGATCCAAACACAGAAAATTTAGGTTTCTAGACCCTAGCCTTTCAGTCTAGGGAATAGCTAAATATATGTATCAGATATCATATAAATCACATATATTTTAACTTCAATGACTAATCAAAAGTCTTATGAATCAAAATGAATTACTATCTAAAAATTATATTGCGTCATAGTGTGGAATATTTCGTCATGCAATTTGTTTTCAACAAACATAATCAAATGATCTGATAACATAATTGACAAGTATGGGCGTGGTGATCATTTAGGTAGTCAGTATCATACATGAGATGGTAAGGATTAAAATCATCGGTAATTAATTGCATAATGATTCATTCATCAAATGTAAACACCAGTAAAACTGTACAATTTATTAGTAGAAAAAAAACTTTACAATCAGAAAATAAATCTACAGAAATCAAAGAACAGCGAAACGAATAAGAAGAAATTTAAAAAATACAACGAACAGTCACGCTTGCAATGTGTTTACATATATAATTCTCAAAAAAAAGGACTAAACAGTTGAATCCCGACATTTCCAGTGTAAATTACTTCTGTTTTCATACATCAAATATCAAATGATTTTTTGAGTGGATTAAATGTTATTCAGTTTTTTTGCTATGTTTATTTAACCTAGCTTGTTTGATCGATTGTAACTCACAGTCTCTTATATTCTAGTTTTTCGACGAGCCATTTGAAATTCGAATGTTATCTTTTATTGGTTCAGCCCATTGATATGATAAGCTCTATAATTCTAAAGATATTGTTCGTTTTGTAGGGAATACTTTTCCATTAACTGGGAGAAAATATCTTAATCTGATTTCAATTCAAACCTATCCATTCTTATCTGCTCGATTCAATTTAAGAAATTTTCTAATCGTTTGATAAATATATTAAATGTCATAATACAGATAATCGTACAAAATATCTATTAGTCGATATTTCTTTTGTTTTTTTTTTGATTACTTATCATTATAGAAAGAATTCAAACGTTCGAAACAACGTGTAGTTATACCTTTCTATGTAAAAGATATTCATATCATTGTTTGAGAATGTGTGTTTGTTAAATCATGTCTTACACAATAGGTTGAACACAAAGAAGTGGTTTATTCAATGATATTAAGTTGTAAATGTTTAGCGACATAACCGAACTGTTAACAGATACGGGAATGATGAAATGTTCAACAGACGAAGAAGTCAATCGACACAACACCAATATGTATAAAGTGATATCTACAATTGTCTAAACTGATCTCATCTTAAATCACTGTAAGTTATTTGTATCAAAAAGATACATATTCATCATAGTAATTTTTTCATCGCTTCTGATGCAAGACATGATTTCTTCGAAATAATGATGTTCTCGGGGATAAGAAAAAGCAATATGTTTTAAAAACTTCGTAATCCGAAGCATATGTATTTGCACAACAATATCACTGAAGCATGATTGATAGTTCCACTTGTACATAAGTGATACAATTGAAATTTTGATAGCGTAAAGATTCTAATTCAGACTATCAGCGAAAAACATTGATCTTATTCAAGTATGATATCCTATGAACATAAACACTTTGATGTTTTTCTAAATCTTACTACTAAAATTTACTTAGTGAACACACCTTATTTGAATAGTTTAATAATATTTTGATGTTCACCTCTCGATACTCCGTATCGTGATATTATGATATGTACGATTCTTTACTGAAGCACACCTCATTATAAAAGTTCTGAATCCACACTGCTGAATGTCAATAATTATTTTGAAAAATATTGCATAATTACGAATAAAATTTAAGGATGCCCTATTCTCTTCTTGAGATGAAAAAGGAAAAGATGTGAAACACTTTTCACGTGTTGGACAATATTCTTAGGCATAAAAAGCGAACAAACATTGTCGTCGCATCGCATCTACAAAGTGAGAATAGTTTAAGTAATCAAAAGTTTGAAGTTTTATTGACTAGATTTGTTAATGTAGATTTATATTATATTTAAACTTGCATTAGACTGTGATTTTGTATTTAAAAGCCTACTACTATTATATATTGACTTGAATAAAAATGATCTTTTGTTTTGATTATATTCCGTGAACTTATATATTTAAAACTTCTATTATTAAAGAAAAAACATTTAATTAATATAGATAGGTTTCATGATGCTAATTGGAAATTTGTTTTTGCTCCAATATGCGAAATACTGAAATATTATTTGAAATTTATTTAATCCGAAAATGATTATTTTTATTCAGAAAAATTCACCAGATAATATTCATATCCTTCAATTTTGAGCAATAAATTGGTTCAATAGAGTTCATGCAATAAAAACAAACTAGACAATTATATCAGCAGTTAGTTTTATGAGAAATTTTCTTTCAAGACCAACGTTAATATTCAAAAAACCAGACTTGCTCTTATTAAGACAATGTACATTTTATTGGAGATACAAAAAATATATTATATACGTTTGGTTTATAATCTATTTATGCTTAACTCAATAAATGATCAGTAATAAAGAATTCAAAATTCTTATTTCAAAAAGATTCTAATTGACTTGTAAGAAAACGTGTACAATATATTCACAGAGACTAACGAGTGAACATATTTGATTGTATCTATATAGAGCCAGTTTACAAAGGTTTTATCATATACGGAGCTGAATGAATATCTGAACTGCCATTGTTTAGGTCTGAAACACAAGAGAGAAGAGATAACCTTTTCGATTTTGCATCTTATTCTACTAATAGATGCGTCATAATATTTTTTTAATTTTTTGTAAAATTTGCAAAAATGATCATTTTATTTTCAGAAAATAGCTCTAGAAAATCAACAACGTTCGCCATGAAAAAAGTAGTTGTCTCTCAAAAAGTAGTAAGATCACATTTGAGTTCTATCTAGATCTTCATCTAATTAAATACTTTTTGTTTTTGACAATTCAATAATAATTATAAAGTTTTTTATGAAAACAGTTGAGTTGAAAAACAAATGAACTAACACAGTTTATAACTGACTGATAGAAGAAAGAGGAAAAAAATGTTTATCGGATGTGTTGACCAATTCATTTATCTAAGCAGGTTTTTCATGAGAATATTCTAATTCATACTCGCTTGTTGACGATCAATGTTAGATTCAAATGTATGCAAAAAAAGCATTAGAAGCATTTCTGATGATTACTACAAAATTGTCGAAAATAAAATGTACTTAATCAGATGAACATTTAGATGGTAATTAAATGTGATGCTATTCTTATGACGCATTTATGTCTCCTTCTTTGTTCCAGACCTGAACGAGAGCAACTAAAGTCTTCATCCTGGTTCTTATAGGATACTATCTTTATAAAGTCGTACTGTGTGGGTTCAATCAAATACATTGTTTCGTAAGATCAATAGATTAATGAGAATTTTCAGACCATCATAATATTTTATTCGCTGAGATTGATTGGTCGACTATTAATAGATTTGTATTTGATCAATATTATCAAAATAGATAATTTTGTCAAAAGTAGAAAATATTGTTTCTAGAAGTTAGAAAAGGAGAAATATTGCAATCTTAATGAAGAATAAGCTAAATTTTCAGTAGTTCGTAAAACAATTTCTTGCTCTTCGTTATTGCAAATCCGAAAATGCTCAAAGTTGATCATATAACCTCTTGAAACTAGATAAGTATTATTATAAAATTTTCACAACTGTTGTCCTTAAAATAGGGAAGATGTATAAACTCGAACTATATTGATGACATTTCTCGCAGGCCATAATATCATTTAAATACTGTATAGTTCCATGAAAACAAGAGAAAGAAGATACCAAAATGAATAAACATTCGAAGACTAATGTTGAAATAGAATTACGTTCAAAGATTAAATAGCTATCAATAATATATCTATTTAATTTTAGATCAATCAATGTGCTTAATTCGACACCTAATTTGATGATGTTATTTAAAATTAACAGACAACAACATTTGGTTGTTGAGCATGCATCGTTGTTTTCTGACGAAATTAGATCGTAATTATGCATATTTGTTTTCACTAATGATCATTAAAAACTAATAATCATACTTGATGATTGTTATTATCAAAAAATATAAATAAAAGACAAGCACATTCATCAAATAGCTTAAAGATTATAGACAATTTGGTCGCCTTCAAAAAAAAAACGCTTTTGAATGTATAAAAATAAATAAAAAAGTTCAGTTTTTTTTTCGCTGACATAAATATAAGTGTAAACTGAATGTTCACATGAATTGCTATTGATAAAATTAATAGACTTTGAGATTTTCTAAAAAGACTAGTTCCTTTTTTCATAAAATATAAACCATTGATGATTGAGTGTTATATGATACTTTTGCCTTACTGAGTAATTTGAACAAGAAATCCAATATTGTCCTATCTAGAAATTAATCAGAATTCAAAAAAAAGCAATAATGAAAGGTACTTCATCATGTAAAAACAATTTATTTCTTGATACAAATGTGAATCATATAGCCACAAGCTGCAATGACCTATTCAATAATTTTGTCAATGAAGAAAAATATGTAGACAACAACCGACGTTTATTTTGTTTTCTTATCTTATTTGCTGTTCTGCATGAATAGCTTTCTTGATGTTATGAAGATTTTTCTCTCTGATCTATAATGTTGACTCACTAGACTATCCATAGAAGAGGTACACATTTTCTTGTGCTGTTCTCTGTATGCTGAGTCAAACAAAAACACCTAAGGTATACTTTCACATAAAAAAAGAGTATAAAAACACCAACAGTAGACGGTTTTCTTCATTCTTTTTTTTTGTCATACATACGAAAAATATGGCTTCATCATTATCATCAACAAATACAGACTTCGAATATTTTGGTCAGAATGTTTATTCAACTGTTTGTCAAAGTAACTATAATCAAAATGTATTTCTTTCACCAGCAAGTATTGCTCTTGCTATGGCTATGTGTACAGTTGGTGCTCGACGAGAAACATTAAATCAAATGTTACATGTCTTTAATGCATCATCAATAGAACATTTAGCAAAAATAGCTGAAAAAGTTATGTATATTTTTTCTGTTGCTGATTATGATACGCAAGTTCAACTTAAATTAGTTAATCGTCTTTATGCACAAAAATCATATACACTTCGACAAGATTATTTAAATTTTGTTCAAAGCTTTTTCAAAGCTGATATCACACTTGAAGATTTTGAAAATAATAGTGCTTATGCTATTCAAACAATCAATGCATGGATTGAAGAACAAACATATGGGTTAATTCAAAATTTACTCTCGATAAATGACGCTTCACAATATACGCGATTGATTATTGTGAATTGTATTTATTTTAGGGTGAATATTACTTTTCATGAAAGTAATAAGATTTCTTTTTTCTTTATTGAATAAATAATAGGGTACATGGGTACAACAATTCGACGAATATTTTACAAATCAATATGCTGATTTTTATGAAGTTAATGGTCACGTATCAAAAATCCAACTAATGTATCAAAAAGAAAATTTTAATTATGCTGAAGATGATTATTTAAATGTACAAATTGCTCATTTACCGTATAAAAGTGACAGTTACGATGTTGAATTTGTTTTTACTATAATTTTACCAAAACAAGGTATTTCATTAGACGAAGTTGAACAAAAATTAACATTACAACCAGACTTAATGCAACAGATGTTAAGTGACACATATACGACAAGAAAAAAACTTCTTTTATATATACCAAAGTTTAAAATGGAAACTAAGTTTGAATTAAATGATGTTCTTATACAGCTTGGAATGATAAATGCATTTAGTGAAAGCAAAGCAGATTTTACCGGTATAGTCAGTGAACAATATGATAGAAATGGTTTATATATTAGCAAGGTAGAAGAATTATAAACACGAAAATGTAAATCTCTTGAATATAAAATTGTAGGTTATTCATAAAGCATTTATCGATGTGAATGAACTCGGTAAGTCTATATATTTTTCTAGAATACTTTATTGATAAAGACTAATAGTTAAAGAGTGAAAGAATTGATTTACTGTATCTATGTTGTAAAGAATCTAAAACAATGACAGTAATTATATTATGAGAATGTTATATTCATAAGACATTAAAGTTGATTCAAATTTGATTTTGGACTATGAACATTCAAATTGTATGAGATTTCATCATCGACTAGGAGTTTAAGGAAGAAGTTATAGTGGAATTTTCAGCTTAATATGATGATGCTGTCGTAACATATTCATCAAGCACAAGTAAAATATAGTTTATTAGGCAACTTGAAATTTTCTAAAAGCCTTGCATCTAAGTATTTTAATTTCTCTTTTTTTGAAAAACCAAACTAGACTGCAGAGCATAAGTGAGCCGTTTTCTTAAACTTATTCTATGTTACTGGAGAGTAAGAATGATAAGTCAGTTGTCGGCAAAGAGTCATCAAAAATTTGCTCTTGATATAGTTTTATGATACTAGGCTTATCACTCTTACTGTCTAACACAAAGGTAAGTGGGAAAAAACATTACTTTGATGAGCTCTGTCGTGACAGAGAATAATATACAAACAGCAGAGGCTCACATACGTGTTTAAGTTTCATTCTTTTAATTTTGAAATGTCTTAGAAAATAAAAAGTCTTCCAGTTTTCTATTCTTTGTTTCTTTACAAGGATCAGTAGCAGCAGTTGTGACTACTATAAGACTTACAAAAAAAAACACCGAATAGTATTAGATATAAAAATCTATCACGTGCAAAGTGCTTCATCCTTCTCGTTTTATGATTCGAGATCTCACAGATTGTATTACTTTATTTTTTTGAAAAATTTTTGCCATAAATCATAGGATGCTGTGACTTTCTTGATGAACTAATAAAACTTCATTCTATATATCATTATTTTTTTTATATAAATCTCTCCGTATAATTTTGAACGGTAATATTATTATTGCTAAGAGGAATAAGTTCTTTTTTTTTGAGTAAAGTACAGGAACCATAAAAGTGAATTTCTCAAAGTGAAAGAATCAGACGTAATCATATGAATGTTGTACACATAATCGTATTCTCTAAAGCCTTACATGAAAATCTATCATCAGAGTTCTCAAAAATCTTATTGGGAGCGAGATTTTCTTATAATGTTATAGTGTCATTCACGAGACATCAAGATCTTTCAAGAAACTCCCAACATGAGTTTCTCTAATGATTCTGTCACGACTCATTTGCATTCGATTTTCATCTCATCTCAAAATATAAGATAAGATCACAAGTACGATCTTGTAAAATCTTATCATGTAATTAGTTGGCTTCGCCCAAGAAGCTTGAGTTTAATTTCTAGTTGCATTAGATGTGGAAGCGGTTTTCATTATGGTCCTATCATGAGTACAGAAACACTATCAATAAATTGAAAACCTCTTTCGATAGAATAGAAAGCTGATCGTTCATATTTATTATATATTTGAGAAATTCGACAGAATTTCACGGTGTTCATTTGCAAACTTTCTAAATGTATAAATTTATCGTTATAATATGTATTTGTATAATTGCTTTTATACAAATGGCTATTAAGTTACTTAGAAAAACACTCGCGGAGATAAAGTTCATCTTTCTTATAAGTTAGAATGAAGAATTAGTGTAAGTTTTTCATGAATGTTTGATATCGATTTTAAGTCATAATTGAAGATTGTTCCATTATTTATTTATTTTTTTCTATCATTTCATTTAGGTTCAGAAGCAGCCGCAGCTACAGCGGTTTCCATGGTTTATGGTTGTTCACTAATACATGAGGAAGAACAGCCTATTGAATTTAAAGCTGACCGACCATTTTTATTTTTCATTCGTGAAAGTCGACAAAATATTGTTTTATTCAGTGGCAAGTTTGTTTCACCACCAACAGCTTCATAAATAAACTATGTACACGTTTTCTTTTATATATCATATGCAAACATTTATCACTAGCAGACAAAAGAATATATATTAATCGTACATTATTTTAGTTTTCATTATTGAAGAGCTCAAAATCTATTTATGCTTGAGTTTCATAAATAAACTAGGAGAGATTTTTGGATCGAATCTTCAAATTTTAGCTGCAAGCATAGAACTGAGAAAGTTGCAAAGAGCCAAAATATCAGTATCAAAAATAAATGTTTGATTCTAGAAATGTGCGCGACTTTTATTATGTTGATGCAACAAGTGAGTTCATTCAATATCTCATTTTCGATTTTTTTTCATTTACAAAAACAAAAAAATTCAAATGATGAAGAACAGTATCAGAAAATAGACTAATGAATCAATGCAGGCAACAACATTCTGACTTAACAATACGGCACAATTATGATCAAAGTACCTGCAACAGAAGAGACGCTTTTCAAATTTTCAAATTGGTATATTGAACTAACCTCATTTATCTACATCAACGACAAGTAATGACTTAGAAGATTTCATCACATATACAGAGTGTGTAAAAATGTTTTTCCAGAGGAGTAACACTATAGTTTTAAACAGCATCAATGTCGAATTATATACTAAATGAAAGTGCGTCAAAAATGGGATTTATCAGTATTGAATGACAAGAGTTCTTCAAACTTTTTAATATCAAGCATAACAAATCTCTAAAAACAGGGTGCATTGGAATGGTTTTCCACAGAGACGACGCTGTAATTTCAAATAGCATCCATAACAAATTTATATCAAATTAAAGCGCGTCGAAATTTTTCAATATCAAATTGAATAAATTTCTAGAATTTTCCGCCATATTAGCAGAGAAAAATTTCTTTCATGCGGCTATTCAAATCAGATTCGATTTAGAATTTTGAAGATTGACGAACATAATCAATAACTAGTATGACAACCATTAGTTTTCCTTAGAACATAAAGATGAGACAGATAAAAACATAAAATAATTTCAAATATCTGAATGTTCATTACCATGGTTCTCAAAATATTTGAAATGTTTTTTTTAAGAGTTTTTTCATGAAAACGATTGTGTTTCGTCTTTCGTAGCATTTTATTCAGCTTTGGTTTTCATTATGGTTCCAACATTTTCAGGTTACGTGTCGAGTACTCTATGATATTCAAAATTTTAAATCGAATCTGTTTTGAATAGCCTCATGAAAGAAATTTTTCTCTGTCGATATGGCGCAAAATTCTAGAAATCTATTCAATTTGATGTTGAAAAATTTCGATGCGCTTTAATTTAGTATAAAACTCGACATTGATGTTGTTTAAAATCACAGCGTTATATCTCTCTAGAAAGTAAATTTTTACACACCCTGTATATTCGCAGTACATTTTGTTCATCGTTTTTTCGAATAGCATGTTATCAGTCTATAGTTTAAACTCATAAAGAAACAGTTTTCTATTATCGTATGGATTTTTCGTTGATTATGAAAAATATCACTATGACGTAGTTACATATGATCATTTTCGATTACCTATTGTATACATATTTGGTCTTTTGTGAAACATGATCTTGATGAAATCTTAAAGTATAAGGACAATACTTTCATTAAGTAAAACATATGTTGGCGAACATTCTCCTTTAAAATATCGAATCGCGCCCATGCACTTCACATTTTAATTGGAGAGAAATTTTTCAATTGATATGTTTTTATAAATAAGACAAACGTTGCAAGTTCATCACATATGGGTACACATAAGCCCAAAAGACCTAGGAGAACAAGACGAAGAAAGTTCGTATAGAACTCCATGATAGTTCTTGAAATTTCGTATCTATTCAATCTTATTCTAAGGCAAGCAATTAGAAAAAAAGAATAATCAGAAGACGAAATAAAATGATGATTTACATTTTCTTAGGCCACATCCAATTTATAAAACGTCTTTTTCTGTATTCTTTTGTCTTGGTATAAACATTTTACTCTAAGATTTGTGGGTGTGGGTGTAAATTTGTATAACAGAGAAATATCAAGATCTACGCTCACCCAGCCGAAGACAGACCTATACTCACAGATGAAAACTTATTTTCCTGTTTTTTTTTATTGCACCCATTGTTGGGACCACAAGTTTAATGTTACAAGTCCAATCCACTCTCCGCATGATTGAAGAAGAGAATGATTTGATGGTAGTGAGCGCTGTCGGATTTCAAGAGCACGTTCAAATAACAGACGTCTTTTTGAGTACTCTGGTGCTGTAATACATCACACCCGTGTTAGAATAGGACACAGCCAAATCAAGATGATTTGATGGCAGAGTTTTTAGTCGGATTTCTAGTGCTTCTTTGTAGAATAGTAATGCTTTGGAGTGATCGTCAATGTTTTCGTACACTGCTCCCATGTTATTGTATAATTTAGCAATGTCTGGATGGTTGTTACGGAAACTTTTACAATAAATTTCATGTGCTTTTTCGTAAAATGGAAGTGCTTTCAAATAATTATTCATCTGGTAATGCAATCCGCCGATATTATTATATGATGCAGCTAAATCATTGTGATCTGGAGGAAGAATATTTTTCAAATTTCATGCCCCTTTTCGTAATATAATAGTGCTTTCTGATACACCGAACCAATGTTGTTGTAGGTAGCAGCTAACCTAGGATCATCGAGAGTAAGATTTTTATGTTGGATTTCAAGTGCTTTTTGATAAAACAATAATGCCTTAGCATTGTCATCGATCGCTAGATACACTGAACCCATGTGGTTATAAGAAGTAGCCAATTGGTGATAATACTGAGAAGGAGTTCTTTCGTAAATTGCAATTGCTTTTTCATCAAATGAAATTGCTCCAACATAATCGCCGTGCATGTTCTTAATCAAACCCATTTGATCATAATGGTATGCCACAGCAGTCTCATTGAGTATTTTCTGATCGAGTAATACTCAGAACACTTCCTCTACCTTGTAATATTGTCCTAGTCTAATTAAGAATCTAGTCAATCGATATCATCCTCTAGATTTTTCAGTCTCTTCTCTCATTTTTTCTATGAGAGCATTGAGCAACGGGTCTGTATCACTTGTCAACTCAAGGTTTACTTACCAAAGTCGATTACTATCATCAAGATTTTTAATCTCACCGATGCGAAAGACACTGTGCATGTCGAAGAGAATCTCTTGTTCTGGCTGATAATGACTGCTCATAACAATATGAGCAAAAGCTGCTGTGGAGATGGAAGTATCCAGTAATTTGAAAGAAGACTCGTATCAAACTAGGATTGTCTTTACTACTTTCAGCATAGGCAAACGAGATACTTTGATCTTTATTCGTAGATAAGAAATTATTAAATGACATCAGTCCGCCTTTCGTTCTTGTTAATATGTCAAAGTCCATTTTCGACAAACCTTGACCTCGATAGACAATCAAGGAGATTTGCCGATTACCAAATTGCTCCGAGTGCATTTTAGTGATGTGTTGATGAAGATCGTGGATGAAGAAACCCATCTTGATGATGGTATCAACTTCTTGAGTACGAAGCGCTCGGTTAAGCATTGAATACAGAAAGCATTCGTAAGTGCACCACCCGATAGGTGACTTCCGACGATAATTTTTTTTGAACTCAATGATGTTTTTTAATTCATGATCATTTTCGGCGTAATGGAGACAACAATATGCGGCCATATCTTCGATGGACTGTTCATCATAGTCAATTTTGAACAATATCTTTTTGAGAATTTTCGTGTACCTAAACGATTGATCAAGTTCATCGAAGTTTTGTTTGGATGATTCACTAACGGGAACAAAACTGAGAGGGATTTCATTTCGATCACATCGATTGACGGTTTCTTTGAGCGATTCACAGATCAGTATGATATCTGTAAAGATACCCATCACCTTCGGCCATTTCTGTGCCCACTGATCATGTTGTCTTGTTCTGACAAAAGACGAAGATAGCATTGAGCTGCGGGACATTATGAATAACAGGTACTATAAGTTGACCTAGACTACCAAATAAAAGCAAAAATGCCTTTTCATCTATAATTTCGGTAAGCAAGTCGACACATTGATCCGTATCAGTGAATATATCGATGGTATTCACACCTTTTCATAGTAAATTTTTAGAGTTACGAAAATTATCGCTTGATTCATTAATATTCACATGTAAACAAATTAGACGGAAGTTTTGGATAATACGCTGTTCTGCAGATACAGTACGCAACTGTACGACAGGAACACTAGATGATGTTGTAGCGGCACTATTGGAGGAAGTAGGCATTGGCTTGAATTTTTTGAACCCAGACGAAGCCGCGTACGGATTGGTAGTTCTCTAAACTAAAGCAATCAACAAATCGATGCTGGCAAAGTCAAAAGAAGTGTTGTTTTATTACAATATATAAAATTTATTTCTTTGTAGATTCTACTTTTGACTTTCATGATCTTTTATTTTGCAGTTTCTGTTCGAAATTGTTGCTATGAATAGAAAAAAGAACGAGAAAAAAATCTATTGACAACAAAATGACGAGAGAACGCAGAAAAATCAAATGGTAACAAAAGAACAACAACAATAGTCGCCAGAGTATTGTTGATGGTTAACGTGTGAGTGTTGGGCGTCAGTGTAGATGTCCGCATGTGTCTGGGCATTTTATGGATGTGAGTGTGGGCTTAGGGTTACCTGGCATCGAAACCCATACCCTTAAATTAATGCATATTATTTCTTCATCTCTTTTTAAAGCTTTATTTCTTATTTGTAAACTTCAATGTGAATGGAATAGATTGTGTGTGATTTTGTTCATTCAATAAAAATGCCTGAAAAACTCGGTTTAATGGGTTGGCATTCCAGTAATTTCAAAATAGATTAGCCATTGAAGAATGCTTAAGGAAGTTAAAGTGCAAATCTTTTGTTTTATTTTTTTGTTTTGCAATACTTTGACTTTGGATCATGATACGATAATGCCATAGGTATACAATAAAAAGATCGTCGTGTCTTGAACTACTTCTATTTTATTAGAGTGAAGATTTGACGTACTCTCAAATTCCCGAGTCAACGCATTGAACAGAGACAGAGAAAAGCTGAAAATACTGTCAAGATGTGAAAAAAGTCATTTTTTCAAATTTTTATAGTCTAACCACAAGAAATCGATGATTGTGGTGTTCGGCATATTCCATGAGTATACCAAAAAAACGTAATATTTGGATTTATAGGTTTCTCTATACGATCTTTCGTTTGCGCTAGAAAACATCAAGAAAAAAAACATTTACTGACGACCGGCTTGGTTAATGGTCTGATGGACACTCTCTTAAGATGTTTTCGCTGACAAAAAAATAAAACTTTATTCATGATACAGAGACCAGGACATATCGAATCTTCGCATATACACTGAATGAAGATAGTTTCTACTTACGTTAACTATATCAATCGTTAGAACTTTCTTGGTTCTTGTCTTCGAACAGAATTATAAGGAACAATGTTGTCCTTTAACATTTTTCCATCATTTTACCACTAAAGAGTAGTCGTGAGTGACGAAATAAGAAGTCAGTTTTCTTATGATATTCAACAGCAATTTGAGTATGAGGAAAGCAAATTTGAACCATTAAACGATATAAGGTTCAACTTTTTCGTAATCAAGTTTGCCATAAATATCGAGAAAAGTAAATTCTTTTAATTCTTTGATCAGTTGACAAATATCTTGTTCAAAGATGACCACATGTTGAGCTAAAAAGAAATAGAATTATATTATTAATTTATTTTCTTTTATAAAATCTTTATATTTGTACGTATAAATACCGATTGATTTAGATGTTATTAGAAATTTCAGCCATCGTGGAATGTTAGTCGCATAGGATTCTCTTCTATAATCTGGTCGAACTTAAATAAAGAAAAAGACAATGAAAATAATATGAATTCGTAAAGTATACGAGAGTTCAAATAGAAAATAGTTTCTCTTTTGAGCAGAAAATATTTTTTTTTTATTTAAAAATAACCATTTCATGTTTTATTGTAAACAAGCAACTTTTATCGCCAAGCTATTTTTTTAGTAACAAGTCGATTGATAAAACCCCTGAAGAATTCATAAAATTGAAACCAAAAGTTAGAAACCTCTTAAAAGTGCCCAGTAACTGTCCAAATAAGCCTTCCAAGGAATCTAGAATACTTCGCGAAGATTTCATCAATCAGTCAAAATTCTCTAGGGATTCTTATAGAGTGAGTAAATTAGAGTCATTTTCGTATTTGCTGAACCTCGATAGACGAATGAATATATTGTAAATGAGACTTTCATCTTCTCATTATCTTCTAATCTCGAATCGCTTCGTTTTTGACCAGAAGATTTTGAAAATATCATAAATTTAATTAATGAATTGGAATAAAACTAAAAAACAAAATTACCAATATTATTAAAGGAATAAGCACATCATTATCTATCTTCTTCCTGTCTAAACTTAAAGTCGATATCGAGGATATGAATACGAACAAATCAGAGAAGTATATCTCCATCGAAATTCCACAATGCAATACATTTAAAAATTTTTAAATAAATGATTGTTTATTTTTTTCTATAATTACTTCATACTAACAAATAAGATGCCGTAGCTTTCATCGAATTGAATTACCAAAAAGACTGCATCCGCTAAAAAGCTAAAGTTATTAGTTTGTTGTTCAATGAAATTTGAAAACAACATTTTTACTTCTCAAATATCTAGTCTATGTTCTATAGTTATAAATCTTGTTTACCCAAACAAGACAATATATGAATTGAATTTACATAGAGAAAAACCAACGAGTACTTTTTTATTCAACTTGAACTATGCATCATTATAAGAATATCTGTTTCATTAAAAACGTAAATAAAATTCAACATTAAGAAAACACAAAATAGAATGATATTTATCATATATTAATAAGAGATTTGATTTTGATTAGTTTTGTTTATTTAAAAAAAAACAAACTTACTAGATATCCAAGAAAAATCATCTGATCGCCAAAGACGTAATGTTTGTAAATGAGGCATATATGTGCTAAGAAAAGGTACAAGTTGTTTGCGGGTGTGGGTGTGGGGTGTGGGTGGGTGTGGGTGGGTGTGGGTGTGGGGTGTGGGTGGGTGTGGGTGTGGGTGTGGGTGTGTAGGTGTGGGTGTGGGGTGTGGGTGTGGGTGTGGATGTGGGTGTGGGTTGGGTGTGGGTGTGGGTTTGGATATAGGTAGGAAAGAAAAGAAGATCCAGACCCAGTTCCAGACCCACCACGTCCACATCCCACCCACATCCCATCCGAACCCACACCCACACCCCACACCCCACACCCCACCCAAACCCACACCTCCACACACTCATATATAATATCCATTTTCATCACAAAATTCTTCTGTACATCAGATGACAATGGTAAAAAAACAGATAGTTTACATTGGAGAAAAAGCCGTAATTGAACTACTTTTCTTATGTCTTAAGTTTTTTATTTTTGTTTGTTTTTTTACAATCACTACCACACCTCTATCTGTTAACAGGTTTAGCGGAAATCATCACTCAACTTTTCACTGCCCGCACTAAAAAGTTTAATCGCTTTCTTTATCAATTTGAACTTCTATTCATATGGAATGTACATGATAATACAAGACTAAGATTGCGTATAATTTTATTTTTGTTCAGATAAAAATTTATATTTAAGATGACAACGATGGAGAGAAGTCATCTATATCTGCCACGGTTGTCATAGGGTCAACATAAAAAGTGTGATTCGATCAAGTGGTAACTTTGAAAAATAATAATATTCATGTTTGTGAGTCGATCAAGATCGGTAATAGTTCTATAGGTTCTGTAAATATAATAAAGATTTACAACAGTGTTTTTTGCCAGTTAAATGAATGATCAAAAAAATAATAATGTTAAATTGGGAAAAATAAAATACGAAAATGACAAATAATAAGAGAATGGCAACGATGCTAAATAAATACGAGATATTTTTCACTTTACATATTTTATATTGGTTTAATGAAGCTAACGGATATAAGTGAGTTTCACATTTCAGCTCCATGGAAGCTGCGCTAAGAAGCTTTTTCTCTATTGAGAGCCTAACTGACATTGAATTGTTTGTGTCAGTTATGATCATTCTATTTTTCCTCAGTCCGAAACTGTAGTTGGAATTCATGAAATACAAAATAAAGGTTATGGAATTAGTTGAGTATTAGAATTTTTGAACTCTTCGGCCATCCTAATTAATTCCCATTAATTTTGATGTTTATGACTTCCTTTGGATGAAACCTATCAATAGATTCAGAAAAAGCATTCCAAACTGACTACAGCTGACATAATTAATTATCGGAATTTTTGCAGCTGTGCAATACTGAAAATGTGTTATTTTATGTAGAATAAACAAATTTCAACCAATTCCTAGCGTTTCTAATTAAAAATCAAAATACGTTTAGTCTTGAGAATTATGGGTGTGGGTAATGTAGGTGTGGGTGCTCAGACAAGAAACATCCACACCCAACCCTGATTGATTAGCAGTTTTCTAAGTGTACGCACATTCAAATTCAACAATTGTAGTGTGACATCGATAGAGTTCGGCAAGTTCTGCGAGGAAAGCTTCCATGAGCTGAGATTTACTTCACTCGATTTTTTTCACGTCGAAACTAAAATTATTTCTCTCACTATTAGAATATGATTGACTAACATCTAATGACTACGGATTAATCAATTTAAAATTGAAGCAAGCTGAAAATATTTCTTGAATAATACAACGAAGATCAAGTTATTGAGAAAATGAAAAGAATAGTTGTCTTAATTTTGATCATTACTACAGTACTTGACATGACTTACGATAAATTTCTTCAAGCTCTATGGATATTGAAAATCATTATATGCAAATCTTTTACAAGAAATTATGTATTTCTCATATATTTATTTATAGTTTAATGCAATATGCTATACTTTTCTACAGTTTATTATTCAACTCTATTAGAAGGACGCCGGATCGATACAAACAGAAAACATTTAAGCGCGAGAAAAAAACTATAATAAACGTATAAGCTAAATGTGTTACCAAACATAAGGAAACAAAATATTTGGAACATTACGTGAGTACTTCTTCCAATCTTCGCCATATCTCTTGCTACAATAATCTCCTAATTCGGGCACACCTCTTTTCGTAAAATCCCACATATGCCATGTGAATTGTAAGGCTGCTAACCAGTAATTTCCACTTGTTAGAGCCAGTCCAGTGCGCCATAGTGTGTAGCCACCGTAATTAATATGACGTGCGAGAGAAAATAAACCACCAGTATAGAGTTTGCCCTGATTTTCTGGCTTATCTTTGAATTGTTTACGTTGAAGTTCGGAAATCAGTTCAGTAAAAATACCTACAGTAAACATAGAAATGCCAACATATTGTAAACTGCCTAATTCATTCGATGGACTATAAATTAAAGATGATAATGAAGCAAGAGAATTGAGTATTGTATTATAGATACATATGGCTATCACACCAGAAAAAGATATTTTTGCTTCCAAAATGTAGGCCATGTTAATAATCTGTTTTATGGCACAGCCGGCTGCCATAATGACTAGAACTGTCCCTTTAGGTCCAGCTGAAGTGGTGACAATATTAGCTTTGGAGAGAATTTGATGACCATATCCCTGAAAAAGTAAGAGATATTGCAGATATGGATCAACAGCACGCAGAAATGAGAAGACAAAACGAGAAAGAGGACTCGAATCCTTGTTTGAACGATCAAATAAACATTTTGTTATTTTTGATTGATTTGACATGACAATCTACGATATATAATAATAGTTTTTAATCTTATTCAAATGAATAATTACAAACTGATTTTGTATACTACTAATGACTTTGTTGAGGGATGATAGTTATGTTGTTGTTATTACACACATAAACGAATAAACAACAACAGTAACAACTACGATTTGCTCGTTCTGTGTATGCCTTTCAACGATAGAGAATCGGGCGTTATCGTGCATATGTTACAGAAAAAGAAACACATTAAAAAAAGGCTATTGCTTCGATAGAAAACAAAAAGTAACTCACATATGCACGTGAGCGACAGTTGGCGCCAGAAATCAAGAAGAAAAAAATATTAAGATTTACAATTTTAAGAAGAGAAAGAAGGAATTTTCAAAGGTTAAAACCAGCCTTGAGTTCGATTTGCATTTATTATTCATTAGCTAAACACATCGGCGATCAGTTTATTGATTACTGATTACATTTATACAATCTATTTCTAGGCGTATTTTCTTTACTGTAGACTTGAGAATTGAGTCGAGTTATACAAACCAACTTTTCACCGAAATTGGTTTCTAGCATTTTGCGAGACTCAAAAGTGGAAATCAAATAATAACACCTTCATTCATCCTTGTCAATTTTCAAATACCGGACAGATAAGTATACAATATCAGTCTATCAATTCAATTCAAAGATCTCTTACTATATCACATCTATTACCACTCATATCAAATCTGACGAAAATGATTGTTTCCCATGGCCTGCATAGATATGCTTCTCACAGTGAATTCTTACCATTGTTCTTCTAAAGATTGTCGCGACATGAACTTCTGGTAGTAATAATTCTGGTGTGCCGTAGAAATGTTGAAAGGAAAACTGTCGAAAATAGAGACTCCAGCAAACATGTCAGTGATGCGATAAGTGGCGCCTCTATTTTCGATATTTTTTCTTTCGACATTTCTAGTGGGGTGTGGCTGTGAGTGTAAGCCTGGGTGTTGGTGTGGGTGTGAGGGTGTAGGTGTGGTCATTTCTACAGAGAAACCACACTCACATCCACACTCACACCCACATCGACAACCACACCCACACAATTCTGTCTTTCACCTTCCAATCTTGGAAAAATGCAATATCTCAAATAGAAAATTCAAGCACTTTATTGTCATTTTCAAATAAAAAAAAGCACATCAAAAATTCAATTCAAGACTTTAATTCTTCATTAAAAGCCATCTTCAAAACCAATGTTCGCTATTTTTTTTCTTGATTATTCCGTCTTATCAATTCGTCCAACCGAGATTCAAGCTTCTCTCCGATTTGCTTCACCCCGAGATGTAATGTGGTGAGTGTCTATGCGAAAAAGTGCAGATAGGTATATGAGAGAGATGAAGAGAGAATAAGGGTCACCGTGTTATGCCATAATGCATCAGCCAGATGATGTGCTCCTTTGTCTCCGATTTGATTCGATGAGAGATCTAGTGTGGTGAGTGTCTATGTGAAAAAGTACATATGGGTACATCAGAAAGATAAAGAGAGATTGAGGGTCACCGTGTTATGCTGTAACGCATCAGCCAGATGTTGTGCTCCGAGAGTTCCGATTTGATTGTAGTAGAGATTGAGTGCGGTGAGTGTCTGTGTGAAAAAGTGCAGATGCGTATATGAGAGAGATGAAGAGAGAATGAGGGTCACGGTGTTATGGCGTAATGTATCAGCCAAATGTTGTGCTTCTTTGTCTCCGATTTGATTAACAGAAAGATATAGTGTAGTGAGTGTCTGTGTGAAAAAGTGCAGTTGGGCATATGAGAGAGATGAAGAGAGAAGAAGGATCACCATGTTATCGCGTAATGCATCAGCTAGATATTGCGCTCCGAGAGCTCTGATTTGATTCGAGGAGAGATTTAGTGTGGTGAGTGTCTGTGTGAAAAGTGCAGATGGGTATATGAGAGAGATGAAGAGGAAATGAGGGTCACGGCGTTATGGCGTAATGCATCAGCCAGGTGTTGTGCTCCGAAAGCTCCGATTTGATTCGAGGAGAGATTTAGTGTGGTGAGTGTCTGTGTGAAAAAGTGCAGATGGATATATGAGAGAGATGAAGAGAGAATGATGGTCACCATGTTATTTTGTAACGCGTCAGCCAGATGTTGTGCTCCTTTATCTCCAATTTGATTGTATTGGAGATGTAGTGTGACGAGTGTCTGTGTGAAAAAGTGCAGATGGGTATATGAGAGAGATGAAGAGAGAAGCAGGGTCACCATGTTATGGCGTAATGCATCAGCCAGATGTTGCGCTCCGCGAGCTTCGATTTGATTTGAGGAGAGATGTAGTGTGGTGACTGTCTGTGTGAAAAAGTGCAGATGGGCATATGAGAGAGATGGAGAGAGAATGATGGTCACCATGTTATTTTGTAACGCGTCAGCCAGATGTTGTGCTCCGAGAGCTCCGATTTTATTGTATCGAACATCTAGTGTGGTGAGTGTCTGTGTGAATAAGTACATAGGGGTATATGACAAAGATGAAGAGAGAAGGAGGGTCACCGTGTTATGGCGTAATGCACCAGCCAGACATTGTGCTCCGAAAGCTCCGATTTGATTCGAGGAGAGATTTAGTGTGGTGAGTGTCTGTGTGAAAAATTGCAGATGTGTATAGGAGAGAGATGAAGAGAGAATGAGGGTCACCATGTTATTTTGTAATGCGTCAGCCAGATGTTCTGCTCCTTTGTCTCCAATTTGATTGTATTGGAGATGTAATGTGATGAGTGTCTGTGTGAAAAATTGCAGATGGGTATAGGAGAGAGATGAAGAGAGAATGAGGGTCACGGTGTTATGGCGTAATGCATCAGCCAAATGTTGTGCTCCGAGAGTTCCGATGTGATTCGAGGAGAGAAGTAGTGTGGTGAGTATCTATGTGAAAAAGTCCATATGGGTATATGAGAGAGATGAAGAAAGAATGAGGGTCACGGTGTTATGGCGTAATGCATTAGCCAGATGTTCTGCTCCAAGAGCTCTGATATTATTGTCATAGAGATCTAGTGTGGTGAGTGTCTGCGTGAAAAAGTACATAGGGATATATGAGAGAGATACAGAGAGAAGAAGGGACACCGTGTTTTGTTGTAATGCATTAGCCAGATGATGTGCTTCGAGAGTTCCGATTTGATTCGAGGAGAGATTTAGTGTGGTGAGTGTCTGTATGAAAAAGTGCATATGGGTATAAGAGAGAGATGAAGAGAGAATGAGGGGCACCATGTTATTTTGTAATGCGTTAGCCAGATGTTGTGCTCCTTTGTCTCGAATTTGATTGTATTGGAAATGTAGTGTGGTGAGCGTCTATGTGAAAAAGTGCATGTGGGTATATGAGAGAGATGAAGAGAGAATGACGGTCACCGTGTTATGGTGTAATGAAATTTAGAGTGTGAAGAATTTTTTTTTCTTTCTGTGTTTGTATATGATATAAGAGTGTGGTATCTAGCACTCTCTTTTTTATTTGTTATCTAATTGGTCATTCAATTTCCTAATAGAACAGATAAAAAAAGAAACAAAGGGATCATTGTTCTAAGAACTATACAACAAAGTGGTCATGTAGGGGTGAAGCGAGTGGGTA